AATTTCATAAATTCTGGTGGTGCGTAATTAATATTGTAATAAAATGTGCATATTTTTTGTGATCATTTCTGTTTCTTCATTGTGAAAATCAATGACGACTCAACTAATTTCGTAATTTGATTTTCCCTCAAAGACGTAATCTGTCACTTGATGAATCAAATTTTTCATTTGCACTCTTTTTCGAGGGGGGTGCTCGGGTAAGCGCCCACCCCTAAAAAATCGTGATTATCTGAGTTGAGGCCCCTGGGCGCTAACGCGGTCGAGTACGGTATTCACTTGGTTTTAATTTAGCGCATTTTCCAGTCAGCAAAATAAGCAAAATTAAAACCCAGTGAATAGTTAACCCCTTTACAGTATGTGATAGATACTCACTTTAAATCCTCTGTGGTATTTGAGTGTTACATAACAGAAAACAAATCTGAGCATGAGAAGACGAAGGAATTCATCACCATAGAATTGCATATACGTATGATCTGAAAAGACAATGAACAATACTTTGTTACAATTGGTAATGTAATAAACTTTCAAGTTAATAAATAGAACAGGATTTAGTAATCACTTTATTCCTATAAAACTATCAGTACTATGGAACAAAGTAAGAGGTATGTCAAACTGTTCTGAAAAATATTACTTATTAACACATCTCACACATTCCACTCAAAGACATATTCTTTTATTTAAAGGGTGGTAGTTGTTATGTTGCGCTTGTGTGACATTTGTGTTGATAAACATTGATTTTCCCACAATCCAATGAGTTCTTCTAATGGTAATCACAAGTATGAGGTTTGACCTGGGGGCGATTTGCACTAATTACCGCCGGTGACTCCTTTGGTACCTTCCAATACACCTACAAAATACCTCGTAACGTCTCAGTTTGTACTCGTTGATCTGTGCAACAGCCAAAGTCGCCATCTTTGTTTATATGAGACCCATATATCTCGCGCATGCATGGCGAGACGACTACTGCCCTTTAACTTTTTAGAAAAGACAATAAAATCAGAGAATTTTAAAAAAACTCACCTAAACTCCTTGATTTTGAAATGAGTGTAGCAGTCTCTTGGGTTACCATAGTCACATGCTTTTGGCATTTCTCCCACAATGCAACTGGAATATCGCCAATGTCACACACATGACAAAATGCAGTGAGAGGGGAGTACATGAACAGGGTAAATAAATTGCCTTTTGTGTTTTGATCTTGTAAGTTCTTTGGCAGTTGAGTTGGTGACATCAGACACACTAATGGCTGACCAAACAGATTTGGAACATTCTAGAAAGATATAAAAAATAAAGAGAAAAATGTTGACTGGCACTTTTGCTCTGCATGACACCTGTGACAGTTAACCTTTTTACCACCAGACTTTCTCGCTCAAATTTGTCTTCACTTTTTTCTTATATTCTTCAATAATTCTGTAAATGTACCCTAATTTTGAAGCCAACAGACAAAATTTGAGTCAGTTTTCACTCAAAAAATTTGGCTATTTTTGTCCCAATCTTCTGAAGGAAGGTGCAGACTATTAACAGGATTACATTGTGAATTTGTGATAAAAAGAGGGAACTGGTGATGAAAAAGTTAAGGATGCCTATTGACACATACATTCACTGACATTTTTTCAATGATTTTGTTTTTTAAATACTGTAATTTTACTAGAGACACATTTTGGAGAATTTCATAAGTCAGTGAAACTCCCGAAATTCTGTAGCAGTGAAAGTTTCACTGGGGTCCTAAATAGACACATTCACCAATTTTTTCCTTCTTCAATTGCAAAAGATCACCCAAGGAAATTGAACAGTATACAGTGTTAGGCTCCCTACCGGTCATTACTCCAATGCAGCACAACATCCAATAAGATGACAGTGATTTTGACCTATGAACTACCGGTAACTCAAGATAATTCACTCACCTTAAAAACAACGCTATTAGTACTATCCACTACTAAGAACAAAGGTTTTCTTGAAAATGGGTACAAGTCTCCTGGATGTAAACTGAATGAAAGTAAATGAAATATATATATCAGTACAGTACAAATAATTTACCCTTTCACCGCCAGACTTTCCAGCCCTCATTTTTCTGCACTTTTTTTTTTATATTCTTCAATATTTCTGGAAATAAACCCTAATTTTGGAGCCCACTGAGTTAATTTCTGGTTTTTACTAAAAAAATATGGCTACTTTTTTTTGCAATCTTGAAGGAACTATAAACGGAACTATTTTGTGATTTTGTGATGAAAGAGGGAACTAGTAGTGGAAAGGTTAATGATAGCAGTGTAAAGTACAGATAGTTTGGAGTGTGTTACACAAAGTGGCTACATAACCTAAAGTTATAACCATTACAGAAACCAATTAAAGAACACTATGCACTGTGATTGACCCCGAAAATAATTCTTTGTTGTCTGAAACTACAAGGCTGCAATAAAGAAATCTTGACTCTAGAGGGCTGCAGTTATATATACCACGTTTATGTCTACAGTCGTTTCACAGTGATTTTATTATATGACAAAAAAACTAAAAAAGTAGATCACATTGCCTCCAAATATAACTGTTATAATTGTCCTCAAATTGTTGCTTATTGTTCCAAATAGCCTCGTCTCATCAGCACAGTCTTGATGCATTTTTATTTTATCAAACATTCAAGAGTGACAAGTTTTGTATTTATATTTATTTTATTTATAGTTATGTAGCTTTCGAATTTCAGCCCACAATTTGTATATTGAGACAGGAAGAAGAGAAAATGTACGAAGAACAGATAGATTATGTAAATTCTGTAAGAATCTTGTTGAAGATGAGTTTCATTTCCTACTTTATTGTCCACAGTATTTGGATTTAAGAGAGAAATACATTCCACCATACTATTTTAATCACCCAGATCGTACAAAGTTTATACAGTTATTGAAAACCAACAACAAACAAATACAAAGGAACCTTGCACGCTTTTTGCGACACGCATTTTTAAGTAGGGGGAGTTGAGAAATAATTATTATCTATATTGATGATAAATATTTTATTTTCATTTGTTAAATATACTTTCTAGTGTTCAATAGAATTACTTTACATTTTCACATTTGTACATAAGGGTGGTGGCCAAAGTACTGAATAAAGTCTTATATATATATATATATATATATATATATATATATATCACCCAAAAAATCAATCGTTACTTACCAATGCATTTCTTTAAGTAAGTGAGACCTTTTCATTTGTAATGGTTCACCTGGTTCACGTCTGTTATTAGTGACTACACCACCATAGTCATACGCTCCTTCATCCTCTGGTCTTTCTGATCCTGATGAGCCGTCCGCTGAGAGATATATAAGAAGAGCAGCATTGGGAGGTAACTCCTAGTGTGAATAAAAATCAAACAAAGCTTAGAAAGAACTTCTGTGTGCTGTACCATATGGTCTGTAGATTGTGTTTTACCATCCCCACAGCATGTGTATGCACCAAGTGTACGGTAAATTACTGGTAAGTGATTTTTGATAAATCATGATATTTCCTAATTTATTCAAATAAGGTCATTCATATGCATGAATTTCAACTCTAATCACATCCATATGGATTATACTGGAACATGATATACCACGTTTCAGTGAAATCTGAGTGGTAGTTGAAATAATTATGGAAAACCTAAATTTAATTAATTTATATACTAGTAGTTTATATTTATATAGCAATTAATATGCAACCCTAAATTGGTCACTTATGTGGATTATCCTGAAACACATATGTACAAAGTTTTATTGAAATTTGTTGAGTGGTTATTAAGAAAAAAAAAGAAGGGGGGGGGGCGCAACTGCAAAGACGTCCACTGTGAGATTCACATATGGGCGACAACAAGAACATTGCTTTAACTATGACCTATCATTTACCAATCATTGAGCAACAACTTAATCAAAATAACCAGTAGGAAATTAGTATCAGTTTGAGCATTACAAAATCAACCTATCAAAAATTGGCGGGTTTGCTGCTATTTTGGTACTTTCGATTTTGAGGTGGTCACATTTGAAGTTTTCTGATTCTCACCATATGTGACATTACATATGCCTACAAAGTTGACTATTAGAAAGTCTGGAAAGAACAATAGGAGAAAAACTGTGTAAACTATTTATTTCCTTCATTTACTTTTGTGCTATATTTTTGTTTCCATGATGAATTTGCTGTTAAATATTGTATTTACACTACACATTTGTATCTGGAATAGTTTTTCAAAAATATTTAGGCATGCAAGATGTTTTTCTGTTGATAATCCCTGCATGATTTTTTTTCAAGAATGAATTTTTGTCTGTGCAAAATGTTTTTTCCCCAATTATGCCCCCCCTGAGTTTCTAATGGTCAACCCCTAGGTATATTGAATTTATAGATCGACAATTCACTAATAACCCAATAATATTATTCATACCTTGAATCCTGCTGAAAGGAAGGTAAAAAGCTGACCAAATGTGGGTTTATATAATAAATATTTATGTGGGTTTTCTCGCTTTCCTGTTCTGTCACCATTTTCCTGTAAATAGAAGATTATAGTTACTATTTATGATAAGTACTGGAATTATAATTCAATGTTGTCTTGATGTGAAATATTCAACAACTTCTAATATACACAGGACAATAAGCTTGTTAATAAGCCTGATA